CCCAATGGAGTGTGGAGCTGAGCAGGGAGAGGAGAAGCTGAAGAAGAGACTGAGGAAGGAAGCAGGATGGAGCCAGAAGGAGACCTGGAGGAGGCGCATGGAGCTTAGAGACACGTGAAAAAACTGCGCTTGTCTTTTGGTCGTGGGCTGGGTGACACAGATGTGAGACCCGTGGGGAGGTGACAATGGCAGCTTTTATCTTGATGTTGATTTTGCTCTTTTCCTTCCAGACTTGTCTGGTTGTTTCTGACCCTTTTCTGTGGGTCCCCACTGGAAGATGCTTTAGACTTGTGGCAGGCTTTGGGGCCTTGTTCTGGGCTGATCCCACATGGATGGACTTTTACCCATGAAGGGATGGGTAACTTTGGGTGCTTGATTTAAAACTAGATTCTTTGCCTTTCCTGTATTGTTTCCTAATTGTATTAAAGATCCTTCCCATTAAAGTCTCATATGTTTTGTGTTGATGTGGCGGATGGCAGAACCCATTTAGAATAGGCAGGTTTGTGGGGTTTGGGCTGTCCCTCTCCCTGTCCTATAACAATTTTACCTTTTGGTGCTTTCCTGTACTTAATGTTGATAGCCAACTTGAGGAATGAAATGTTCGGCACGGTAAAGAAAAGGAGAGCCAGGCTAAATTTCTCAAAGGGAGTAAGTTTATTGCGCCCCGGGTGGACCTCACACACCCAAGGTGGGGGTCAGTGAAGCTGCGCACGTTGTTAGGGGGAAGCAGGGTTTTATAGGGTACGGAGGGGTCAGGTGGGAAGTTGGGTTCCTATTGTGGGAAAAATTTGTAGGGTGTGAAAAGTTTCCTGGGGCAGGTAGAGGTTCTTTGAGAAGAGACTCGTAGGGGGAGGAGGGAGGCTCATTGTCTGAGTCCTCCAGGCAGGTATCCGCATTCCTGCCCCCCAGGTGGGCTTCCTGGTAGCCTTTTGCATTCCAGCCACCTGCATGGACCTTTCCAGGAACCTCATTGGGAGCCCCTCCCCTTTGAGCTTTTAAAAGAATTAAAAAAGGCAACCATTGATTATGGAACTACTTCCCCTTATACTATATACCTAATAGAATCAGTGGCCAATCGATTGATTTCTCACTCCTCATGATTGGCAAATGACAGCAAGATCTAGTCTGCCTGCAGGTGTTTTTTTTTTTTTTTTAAAGATTTGTTTAATTTATTTATACAAGCACTGGGTATAGTCAGAAGCTCGGGAGGGTGAGAGAATTCCCCAGAGCCAGAGCGGGGAGCAGAACAGACAGACTGATGAAGTACACTGCTGAGGGGAGCAGCGGGTGCAGCAGGCGAGGTCTGCATGCCATGTGGGACCCTCGCCCGGTAGCCGGGGATCGAACCGGCACTGCAGAGCCTGCGGGCAGCTTCACAATCCAGTGTTCAATCGCTGCACCACCGGGGAAGCCCATGGAGACGTTTTCTTGCTGTGGAATGCAAACTATGAGGAGGAGGCACGGAGACTAGTAAATAAACATAATAGGGAAGCAAAAAGGAAAAAAGATGAAATTCCGCTTGAAATGGTTATGGGCCAAGATGATTGGCATGAAAATAGTGCTCAAATCCGGATTCCATCAGCAGCCTTCCATATTGTGCATGAGGCTGCAGTTCTTGCATGGACCCAGTTACCAGCCGGTGAAATGAAAATCTCTGGTCTTAGTAATAGCAAACAGGGACCCGAGGAAACTTACCAAGATTTTTTGTCACGGCTGATGGATGCTGTCTACAAAACTATTCATAATGAGGAGGCAGCTCAAATGCTAATAAAACAGCTGGCTTTTGAAAATGCTTTGATCTCATGTCAGACATTAAGAAGACCAATTCAAAGAACAGGCGACCTTAATGAATATGTCCTTAAAGAATATGTCTGAGTCTGTTCAGAAGTCACACCATCTTACCTTCAAGGAGTGGCTATAGCGGCTGCCTTAGAGGGACAGACCAGCAGCCAGTGGTTCGCCTCCATTCATAGACAAAAGGGCGAACAAACAAACAATGGTGGTGCCAAAACTTTTGGTACCTGTTTTTCTTGCGGACAACAGGGGCACTTCAGCAGAAATTGCCCCAATAAACCAGTCTCTGGGCCTCCATCAACCTTGTTTCAACAGTTTAATAAGCCATTTGCAGCCAATAATAGTGTGGCTCCTTTGAATGTAACGCCTCCAAAAGGTCTTTGTCCTCCATGCAATAAAGGATTTCATGGGGTAAAGCACTGTCGATGCAAATTTCATAAAAACGGCACTTTACTGCCACCTCATGGACAATCTATTGCTGCCACCGCCCTGACTGGTTTTTCAAACAATAACTTGCAGTCGGGAAACTGGGTGAGGGGCCCAGCCCAGGCTCCTCAAATAATTGGGGACTTGAATGGCCAGAGCGGAAAGTAGTCTCTGATTTCGCCCGCACGACTTCAACCAGAGCAGGCCTGGACTGGCCTTCCACCTCCACAGGACGTTACCTCCTGATCAATCATATACTGCGGCAGTGACGGAAGTGTATGGGCCCCTCCTGCCTGACACAGTGGGGCTGGTATTTGGCCGGGGCTCTACCTCATTGCAAGTCATTAAAGTAATATCTGCTGTTATTAACTCAAATTTTACCGATGAAATAAAAGTCATAACTGGAGCCTCCAGGAAAAACAATACAAATTCGCCCCGGTACAAAAAGTTGCTCAATTGCTTTTGTTGCCCATGGTATCGATTGACAATAAAACTGCATCCAACAATGAGATACCATCTCACACCAGTGAGAATGGCACATATTAAAAAAACTAGCAACAACAAATGTTGGCGAGGATGTGGAGAAAAAGGAACTCTCCTGCACTGCTGGTGGGAGTGCAAACTGGTCCAACCACTATGGAAAGCTGTCATGTAGCTAACAGGGCCAAAACAACAGCCACCAGCACCTGTCAAGCACTGAGTCTTGAAAGACAGAGCACCAGCAATCAGTACACAATTCCAAGTGGACCAGGCTACAACCAGAACTTTGCAATGCCGTTGCCCAGCATTGGGTACACATAGAAAGCTGTGTGGAAATTCCTCAACCTACTAAAGATAGAGCTTCCATATGATCCAGCAATTCCACTCCCAGGTATTTTCCCAAAGGACACAGAAACATCAATTCCAAAGAGCACCTGCACCCCTATGTTTATAGCAGCACAATTTACAATAGCTAAATTTTGGAAACAACCCAAATGCCCAAAAATAGATGACTGGATCAAGAAGATGTGGTACATATACACCATGGAATATTACTCAGCATTCAAAAAAGATAAACACATGCAAATTGCAGCAACATGGATGGAGCTGGAAGGGATCATGCTCAGCGAAATAAGCCAGAAAGAAAAAGAAAAATACCGGATGGTCTCACTCATAACAGGAATCTAGAAAACCTAAATAAGGGATCAGGAAAAAGAATAACTGTAAGAAAGAAAAAAATCAAAATCAACAAACAACTATGAACCAGAGACACACTTTGGGGGGGGAGGGGAAAGGAGTGATTGGGGTCAAAATCAGGGGGTTGCAATTGTATGGGGAATATAAAAATAAATTTATAAATAAAAAAAATTGCATCCAATACGTCAAAAGGGGATTCAGGTTTTGCATCCAGTGACGCGGCTTTTTGGGTCCAACAAATCAAAGACACTAGACCGACCAAAATTATAAAAATTCGAGGAAAAGCAATGGAAGGATTGCTAGATACAGGTGCCGATGTTACTTGTGTAGCGGGACACGATTGGCCTAGTGCCTGGCCTACTAAGACCACGTCCGATTCTCTGATTGGCTTAGGATCCGCAAACAATGTGGCTAAAAGCTCTCAAATTTTAAATTGGAATGATGGAGAAATATCTGGGACTTTTCAACCTTATGTCATGCCATCTCTTCCTATGACATTATGGGGGAGGGATATTCTCTCCCAGATGGGGGTGCTTTTATTTAGCCCCAATGATAAAGTTACTGCTCAGATGTTACCAATGGGTTTTCATCCAGATCAAGGTCTAGGACAGAGACTGGAGGGACGCGGGTTTCCCATTGAGGTGACTCAAAGAGAGCCAGGACAAGGTTTGGGGTACAATTCAAATTTATGAAGGGGGCCATTGCAAAGGTTACAGCCGACCCAATTGTCTGGAAGAGTGATGAGCCAGTTTGGGTTGAGCAATGGCCCCTGATAGAAGAAAAGATTCAGACTGTAACTACTTTAATTCAGGAACATTTAAAAAAGTGACATATTCGCCCTACAACCAGCCCTTGGAACACTCCTATATTTGTGATAAGAAAGAAATCAGGAAAATGGAGAGGCTGTTTCAAGACTTCAGAGCAATAACTGTTACTATGCAAGATATGGGAAGTTTACAACCAGAATTGCCATCGCCTGTGGCCATCCCCAAAAATGATCATGTTATTGTTACTGATTTACAAGATTGCTTCTTTACCATTCCTCTGTCTCCCCAAGACTGCGAAAGATTTGCATCTAGTGTCCCCTCTGTAAATTTAAGGAGGCCATTTCAGGGATATGAATGGACAGTTCTTCCCCAAGGCATGAAAAACAGTCCGACTTTATGTCAAAAATATGTAGACATGGTTCTGTCATCCTTTAGGGATCAGTATCCTTCCATTTACTGTGTTCATTATATGGACGACATACTAATCAGTAACGCCCAAGTAGATCTGTTAAATCAGGCCTTGACGCGTCTGGTGGATTTATTGCAGAGTTTTGGACTTGTAGTAGCACCAGAAAAAAATCCAAACATCTCTGCCAATTAATTATTTGGGAAGGGTCATTTGTTCTTTAACTGTGTTACCACAAAAACTGCAGCTGCGAAAAGACTCTTTACAAACGTCAAATGATTTCCAGAAACTACTTGGAGACATAAATTAGATTCGAGCTCATTTGCAACTGACAACTGCTGATTTAAGCCCACTGTTTGATGTGTTAAAAGGTGATTCTAAGATGTGGGGCTGGAGGGGGGGGGGCCCTGCTCCGTGCGTGGGGGTTCTAGCCAGCGGGAGCCCCTGGAAGGAGACCGCTAAGCTGCCATTCGGCGTCGCCGGCGGGAAGCAGCTCAGCCCGGTGCTGGAACTGCGGCAGCCCGGCGGGCCCCGTGAGGAAAGACGGGCCCTTCTGCCCGCAGTGCCGGGCACTGCAACCCCCTGACCCGACTCAGGACTACTTCAGCCTCTTGGATTGCAACCTTTCCTTCAGAGTTGACACTGCAAAGCTCCAGCACAGACTGAAAAGGAGTTCTCAAAGAAGCATTCGACCCTGGTGAATGATGCCTATAAGACTCTTCTGGTCCCCCTGAGCAGGGGACTATATCTTCTAAAGCTCCGTGGAGTAGAGATTCCTGAAGGGACAGATTATGAAATGGACAGGCAATTCCTCATGGAAATAATGGAAATCAATGAAAAACTTGCAGAAATGCAAAGTGAAGCTGCCGTGAAAGAGATTGAATCTATTGTCAGAGCTAAACAGAAAGAGCTGACTGATAATGTAAGCAGAGCTTTTGAACAAGATGATTTTGAAAAAGCCAAGGAAATTTTAACAAAGATGAAATACTTTTCAAACGTGGAAGAACAGATCAAGTTAAAGAAGATTCCCCTCTAATTGTTGCTAATTTTAAAGTTTTTAAAATAAAGTTCTTGCATATTTCAAAAAAAAAAAAAAAGGTGATTCTAATCCAAACTCCCCTAGGCAGTTAACACCAGAAGCTGCACAAGCCTTACAAAATGTAAATGCTGTGTTGAACAATCAGCAACTATTAAGGCTAGATTATACCAAGCCATGGGAATTCATAATCTTAGCCACCCCACACATGCCACCGGAATTTTGTGGCAAAAAGGGCCATAGGAATGGTTGCATTTACCAGTCACAGCAAAGAAGGTTGTTTGTCCCTATGCCTCTCTAGTAGCTGTGTTCATTGTTAAAGGAAGGCATAAGAGCATTGAACTTTTTGGCCAAGAATTCCCTGTTCTCATTTTGTAACAGGGTGGTCCCCGGAAAGGGGGAGGTTCCAGGTTTCCTGCCCCACCCAAGTGGAGGGTGGAGCTGAGCAGGGAGAGAAGAAGCTGCAGAGGAGACTAAAGAAGGAAGGAAGCACAATGGAGATCCAGAAGGAGACCTGGAGGAGGCACATGGAGCCAAGAGACACGTGAAGAAACTACACTTGCCTTTTGGTCGTGGACTGAGTGACACAGATGTGGGTGAGAGACCCGTGGGGAGGTGACAATGGCGGTTTTTGTCTTGATTTTGATTTTGCTCTTTTCCTTCCAGACTTGTCTGGTTGTTTCTGATCCTTTTCTGTGGGTCCCCACTGGAAAATGCTTAAGACTTGTGGCAGGCTTTGGGGCCTTGCTCTGGGCCAATCCTGCTTGGGTGAACTTTTACCCACGAGGGGACGGGTAATTTTGAGTGCTTGATTTAGAAACTATATTCTTTGCCTTTTCTGCATTGTTTTCTAGTTGTATTAAAGTTCCTTCCCTCTAAAGTCTCCTATGTTTTGTGTTGATGCGGCGGATGGCAGAACCCATTTAGAATAGGCAGGTTTGCCAGGTTTGGCGTTTACGGGCGGTTCCTCCAAAGGCAAGGCTGCTTTCATTATCAATGACAAACAAATGTCCATTCAAACGACTGAAATTCGGCCCAAAAGACTGAGTTATTTGCTGTTCTCTCAGTATTTAAAATTTCTAGTTTAGAGTTAGACTTCAGTAGAACTAACATAGATTTGATGAGTTGCTTAGGCCACTTTGAAGTAATTGATAAATTAGCCAAGTTAATTGAGTGCTAGGAGATAGGCTGATTTCAGTGATACAATATAGAATAGGACTTTCACGCCCACTCCAAAACTAGGAAAGTTTAATAGAATGATTAATTGTCACCAAATGTGCTGTCTGAAATAATTGATCATGTTAGAATAGACCTGTACCTAGAAAATTATTTGTCTTGATGTTTTTTAAGGTAACCAAAGAAATGCCCTTTTGTTATGAGACCAAGGGAGTCTCTATAGTTTCATGAGAAAATATGTAATGATTGTCTTTGTGCTATTCAATGCCTGTGTTGATGTAATCTCACCGCTCACCTTACTGTATAAATAAAGACCCGCTGAGACCCTCAGTAGGAGAGACTTGCACCAATATAAGAGTGCCTGTGTCTTCCTCACCCTCAGGCCCCCAAGTTTTCACCGATGCTGTCCTCTCCTTTTGGGGACCCCTGACACGACATCTAGCTGGAGCTGGTCTCCAGCAGCCCCCTCCTCTTGGCATGCAGCCTTGCTAGTGTAAAAGCCAGCCTGACTCCATCAGACAAAAGGAGAACTTGCAAGTGATGAGGGAAATCAAACTTGCTTATTGCACGTGGGTTGGAATGTTCATCTAATGGGACTTTCACTGCAGCAGTTGTGTCATTGCCTTCCCCTTTACTATCAATTTCAACATAACTTTGGACATTTTGCGCTTCCAGAGGATGGCCATAAGGAAAGTTGAAACCAAATGGGCAAGTTGAGTTCTAGTGAGTTTAGAAGACAGAGGAGCTTTGTGTGTTGAGATGCTGAAAGGAAGGACTGTCTACAAAGAGTTTTTAGGAGCCAGGACATGTCTCGACAGTCTACTTCATCTCAGAAGCCTCTTAGGAAACACATCAATGAGTTCTGAGGCCTGCCGGGCCCACCTCTGCCTGTCTCCGACCCGTGGAGCCAGGGCTTGCCTTGCCTTCGAGGTCCAGAGTTAAGGAAGCAGCCATATAAGTGCCCAGGGCAAGGCAGCCCAGACAGGTGAGGTGACGTGGTTAAGGTCACCTGCTGGTTGGAGGTAGATTCCAGATGAGAATACTCGTTTCTGGACTGCAAATCCAGTGTCATTTCCATAATATGATTATGTATTTGTTTCACATGTCTCAGTTACCTAACGATGGTTTTCCCCTTTCTTTGGCAAGAGAGTGACTCTTTCCCCCAGCAGAGTTCTGTGGTGATGTACGGATAATCCTCAGGAACGTCCCTGGGCTAACTTCTTCCATCTTAAAGTGTCATTCAGGCATCCAGGGGAGTCTTTCTCTCCCTCGACATCCCTCTTTCTCTTTCTTTCTCCCTTCTCATCCCCCTTTCTCCTCTTACTCCTCCCTCCCTCTCTCTCCTTCTCCCCCTAGTCCACTTTCATTTCCCCAGCCCCTTCCCCTATCAGAAAGGCACTGTGGGCTGAGAAAATGGCCCAGGCGGGCCTCAGTAGCAAGCACAGCCTACTGTTGATTCACTGCAGTGCCAGCACGGGCATAGCCCTCCAACTGGTACTTGGCAGGAGGTCTTGGCTCTCAGCACAATGGTGCTTTGTTATCACAAATGATCCAGTGCACTGAAGTGAGCTGGCACCAGTAACCTCAGCACTCCTGCCAACAGGTCACATGACTGGCACTTTCTGAATCCCTGCCCCTCAGTGCACCTGCACAGGACAGGACAGAGAAAGAAGCCAGGAGAAGTTTCTGCGTTTCCAGTCTAGGCCCATGGCTCCCACCTGTTGAGGCCCGAGGGACTTAGTGTAAGGACTTGTGAGTAAAGATTTTCACTCCCTGAGTTGGGTGCAGGCTCTTTATATGTGACCACAGGGCCGCAACTATTGTGTCTGGGAACAGGCCTGTTGGGAGACTACTGGGCCAGTCACCTCTGCTGCCCCAGGGAATGGGCTGGAGGAGTGATGTTCTTGGCTGTGGCCCGGGGCCACTCTGGTGTTATTAGAGAATTTTTTCCCTCTATATTGTCTTTTCCCACGGACTTACAATGTGTCAAGCACTGCTATCAAATACACACGTTTCACTGTGTCTCCCATTGTGCAGCTTTCATTCCAGAAAGTTGGGTCACCATTCTGAGCGGAGCTGGCCCAGGTGAACAGGTGCTGCTCACAGAGGGGGTGTCCACACTGCAACCTGCCATCACACAAGGAACACCACTCCGAGGCTTCCAGCTCATTTTACTTCAAAATGTCAGCAGAAGAGGAGATTGTTTTTAAAATTTCCTTAATCACATAGACTATTATGAGAATACTTTTCAGGATTTTTAATGAAATCATAGACTCTGAAGATGGGAAGAACTGCACTTCCTCCAACTGAGGCTTCAACATCTTCATCCAATTTTTGCTCCAACACCAAGTGGATGGCATTGGCTTTCAATTGCTCCTCAGCTAGCTCATGAGACCTTGGAGATTTGGTTTGGGTTGTTTTAAAATGTGTCTTAGGGGGATGAGAAAACCAAATTGTATAATTGTCTGAATATTGAATGACAATCTACAGGGTAGTTCTATCAACTGCTGAAAGTGGAGTATTCAATGGTAATTGTTAAATAGTTTATTTTGTCTTTCAATTTTATTCATTTTTGCTTCCTAAATTTTGAGACTCTGCTATTAGGTACTATTACATTTATAATTGTTCTATCTTCCTAATGCGTTTACCTTTTATCATGATGAAATGCCCCTCCTTGTCTCTAGTAACTTTTTTTTTATCTTAAAGTCTATCTTACCTGATAGTAGTATAGCCACCTTGACTCTTATTGCGACTGTTTGCATGGTATACCCTTTTCATCATTTGTATCTTTTTACATGAAATATGTCCCTCTTTTAGATAGTATCTATTGACTCTTGCTTTTTTTATACAGTCTGAAAATAATTGCCTTTATATTACAGTGTTTAGTCTATTTATATTTAATATAATTATGGATATGGTTAGATTTAGGCCTGCCACTTTATTTTTGATAACTGTCCTGGGTTTGAATGCAGCAGGTGGAGTGTGTCCAGGAGGGAGGCAGCTGTGCCCGGACTTCAATGATATTGGGTCTTGCTGTCGATGAGACCCATCACGTTCTCCCCCAGCCTCCCTCTAGTTCCTGCCTGAGCTCACCTCCAGCTGCTCCTGCTGGGCATCTGGTGGTTCTAGCCCATAGTAAGTGAACCCATAGTAAGTGAACATTTCTCAGTGGCATTTGGACCCAAAGCTGTTGGAGGCTCTAGAAACCTGTTTTTCAAGGAGTTGCCAGTGCCCAGAGTGAAAGACAAGGTACAGACTTCATTCACACACATTTTTGGGGGAGGAAAAACACCAGCGGGGCCACAGGCCTGCATGTAAGGTGGGTGCTGCTTAGGCTGGTGGGGGTGGGCTATACATGGGTTTCCTCACAGGTGGAATAAGGGGTTTCCCCAAGTAAAATTCCTTTTAGAGCCAAGAGTTAATGCTTTGATTTCTAACCAAATTCCTTAGAAATGATTTTCCCCCCTTCTATTTTATTTTAACCAACATACTCCCTGGCCAGGAAATGGTCAAAGTATTGCAGCCAGTGTATCCCTCTCTGCTCAGTACCAGCTCCACACAGAGAAGACCCACCCCTGAGTAGTTTTGGGAGCCTGCAGGGTGGGTGCCCAGAGTGCTGCAGCTGCACTCACTGGGGACAAGGTAGGGAGGGCGACCCCATTCTCTCCCCAAATCAGAATGGGAAGACTTGGTCACATCCTCTCAGAAGTTCAATTTTTGTGTCCCCTACTTGGTTTTCTTCCTCTGGAAACAGGTCACCAACCCCTAAGAAAACCAGGCTCATCTCAACTGTTTCTCACACTTAAAACTCATCTCGTGTCTTCTCCCTCACATAGGACCCAAATGGTCCTAATTTTGTAA